GCCGCGGGATCGACGGGCTCACAATATCGATTTCGCAGAGTTCAAGAGGAAGCTCATTGAGAGAGGCAACTGGATTGCATGGTATGCATTTGAATCAGGGCTAACCATGCGTGCCAAGACCAAACAAATTCCAATAAGAAAACTCGACTTGTAGCTACAAAATCGTATGTAGTATCAGCATATCATATCTCTGCCGTACTCCGTTCTCTCAAACATTGGCTAAATCTCTTGTACATATATGTAGCATATCTGTCCTATCTTCCTATTCCCCAATGTGATACTCCAGTCGCCTATTCCTCAGAAATCTTGATCAGTAGCTTCCCAGTGAGACTACTTCCCGGCGTATTAATCTCCTGATGCGCTTCGCGGACACCCTCAGCTGTAAAGGGGAAGACACGGTGTATTCTGATTTTGAATAGTCCGCTACGGATCGCTTGCCAGAGCTCGCCGAGGTAGTAGTCCGCCTCATCGGGAGTTACAATATATCCGAACACACTACCCACAAGAATATTGAGATTGCCAGGCGTCATAAACGTTGGCGTTCTTACCTGGGGCGAATGAGAGTAATGTTTTTGGCAGAGAGCTTGAGAGGAGAAATGGGGTCCGGTGCGCCTGAAGCGTTGCCAATTGCGACAAGCGTACCCTTCCGACGGAGCAAGTCAAAGTTAGGGAGGAAGCTGCGACAAGGCGAGTCAGCGCTTCAGCAATCCTTCATTGTCGCTCTGTCCACGTACGTGTCCTTGCCGACGCCATCAAACACGGCGTGCACACCCTCCCCGTTTGTGAGTTCAAGGACCCGCTGCACCGTGTTCTCCTTCGTATACAGGATGACATGGTCGGCGCCCAGCGATTTTGCGAGCTCGGCCTTCTCAGGGGTGCTTGTCGTGCCGATGACCGTCGCGCCGCGAGACTTGGCGTACGCTAGAAACGCGAGGCCGAGACCGCCTGCGATGGTGTGGACGAGAATAACGTCGCCCTTCTTGACGTAGTACGATTCGGTCATGGTTGTCAGGGCGGTGAGGCCTGTGGCAGCCAGCGCATAAGTCATAGGCTGAAGATTTGCGTATGGTGCACGTACCGTGGGCGACGCATGACGATGCAATGTCGAGCGGGACCTCATCCGGGACTGGATAGACGGATGTCCATGCATACGATACGTATTCTGCAAAGGCACCCAGCGCGTTCTAGGGGGAGCAGTAATCGGGTAACCGCGTCATGATCAGTTGCATAGTGCGGGAACGGGTAGAATATGCACCAAGGAGACCCTTCCACCAATCTTATAGCCACGTCGCTTGTAAGCGGCATCGTTAAGTACCTTCTCGTCCGTAGGCAGTTTCACGATGATGCCCGACCCCTCTGTGCCGAGTACCTGCGGAAACTTCTTGACAGGATATAAACCTTTGCTGTAGCATCGGTGAGCGTCAAGACCAGCTCATTGCCGCAAAGGATGCCCACCGGAAGTAGGTGTCAATTGTGTTGACACCGGCCCAAACGACCTAGCAAAGACACAGTTGGCGCATTGAAATGGCCGCCCGCCACGAGTGCTCACCTTGACCACAATATCTTGTGGGCCTTGTTCGGGGAACGGAAGAGTACTCTTCTCTACGACCTCTGGACCACCATGGGCAGAGATAGTTATGGCCTGTATCTCCTTGGGGAACAACATGGCTAGCTAGGGGGAACAGCATCGATGGTCTGCAGATGTATTTAACTGTTTCCGATCGTCACGCTCCCGACTGCCCCGAGGCAGAAACACATGGCGCAGATGAGTAATACTGATATCTAATGGCCCTTGCACGGTCTCGGGGAGCGCGTGGGCATCATCACTTTACCAAAAGCTGAGTACTACCGCCTCCAGTCCGTAAATTATATGATTGCGTCGGGCAGATCACGAATAACCAGGGATAAGTCGGTATGTTGTCGAGTGTGCAAAGCTAGTGAAGATCATATATGCGACGGCGCGATCTTTGCAGACTTTAACATGTGGCGCATGGAGGGCATAGTGCATCGCGTGCACACTCGATGTCCAAATAGCCTGCTAATAGAGAGATAATTGAGAGCAGCTCGCGGGGAGAACAGTCGGGCTAGACATAAACTAACCATGGTGTGTTAAACTGCCAAGTTATTGCCGAGGTTCCAAATCGCTCAAACCCTCTCATTTTCTCGTACTTCAGTCTCAAGGAAAGGCTCCTACGAGTATCGCAGCAGTAGTACACAGCGCAGGAATGTCGGATCGCCAACTGATGCAGCGTGTTGGCGCCCATGAAATCCAAAGCGAGCGGAGAACACACAACTTCGGCACTCTCACCCGCACCATGCCCTACCGTCCCCCAGCTCTCAATATTGTCAGCGAGGAGGTTCTCGAATCTGTCTACGTGAAGTCGCGAGGTTCTTCAAAGAGGTGAGTTCCGTTCTGACGACGACAACGATGATGTTCAACAACCGCACACATCTCGCAGAAAGTACAATGGCCAGCCGTACAGATGCATGATGTGCAGAGTAGACGTCTCCGACCTATCTCCTAATGAGCACTGGCGAGCGGCGCACCAGTCCAAGGCGATGATGCGCTTCAAAGATGAGGGTGGGGAGTACGAGGTCAAGCGGTCCCGGGACACCGGCCTCTTCGAGTGTCCGCGGTGTGACTCGTTATTCAGACATCCGAGGCATGTGCAGGTGCGTGCCGCTTTTCTGCCATGTTTTCATAGTGAGAATGACTCCGCGACAGGACCATGCTTTTGCGTGGCGCGGCGCCTGCCCCATAAGCAGCACCAGTGTTGACCCACCTAGGAAAACGTTGCGGCCGTCCACATCTGCCAACGACACACCACAAGCAAGGCGTACACTGCCCAGAAGGGCCGAGAAAGCTCCGCAGGCGCCTCAGAACCAGAATGCTAAGGGTGTTGCACGGCCATTGAAGACCCCAACGCGTACACGGTGAGTGCAACCCAATGCTTTGGCAACCTTCTCATTCTCACTGTCTTCGACAAAGCAGAACCGGCATCCCGAGCATATCGCGGACGTTCCGCGCGATGATCCGCCAGTGTTACAACCAGCGCATTATGTCTAACAAGGAGATCGCGGAGTACTGCAACTGCGACGTACGCGACGTATACTTTGCTCTCAATAACGAGACAGGAGACAACTTAAGCGAGGATCATGACTACTTGGACGGGAAGCTTGGGGACATCGTCAACATTGATAACGTTGATGAGAGCATGCTCAAACCAGTGTATCATGTTGACGAGAAGTTGGACAAGGACGAGGACGAAGATATGAGCAACTCCGGCGGAGAAGAGCAGACGCAGCAGGAACCACTCGCGAACGGGGAAGATCCGCGGGCAAAAGCGTATCCCACACCGGAGAGCGACCCGCCGTACAACCCACCACTTCGTGGATACGCCGACGACACGACATACGACTCTGAAGACGAGATCGAGCGCATATTGAGCGCTACGGATTTGGACGAGCCTGAAGACGAGGAGATGTACGATGTAAGTTGAATGGCTCTTCCATCTCGCTTTGTCTCATGCCTGGACAGGAATCTGTGATCCGCCAGGCCGACAGCCCTTCCCACGTACCCACGGCAGAACCCTCGTCACAGATGCTCCAACATCATCCACCACCTCTTTTCCAGGTCCCCCCACTCGACCCAGTCTATGCATTCTTCTCATCGCTATCAAAGACCTCGCCTGAAGAAGTCCATCAGATGACCGCCGTTTTCCATATATACGGCGTCGAAAATTCTGAAGACCTCGACATTCTCTCGCAGATGGAGGTGTGCTGGCATGAAGTCGAACACTATGTTTGCAGCCGGGGGCTCTCGAGAAGCCAGTGGTTACGGGTCTGTGATGCTCTACGAGTCCGGCGGGCATCGGTACTTGGGCAACGGTAATCTTGCAGCCTTTATCTCCTGAATATGCTTTATTTTAAACATATTTTTTCCTCACTGAGCTGGACGCAGGTTGAGACTCGGTTTGCTAACGCAAAATGTATGTTTAACAATTGTATGCTTCACCTTCTTGCAACACGCGTGACGATTGTGTGTATGTTTTGGCGAGCACGCAAGCTGCGCAAGACTCCCGCAGCCTACGGGACCGAAAGTGTGTGACTCTGTCCCTATCACTCGCGATGAACTTCGCGGAGATCCAATATCAAAACGGAACAACTACTCTAGCTCCAGCCTTGCACCGTCTCTCCCACTGCGCAATATGTCGCAGCGCCGTCGGGGCACTAACGCCAAGACCTCGGGCCCGTCCAGGCCAGTACGGGCGGCGAGGGAGGTCGTGGTCACGTTCCCGGACGGCTTTTCGTTCACTGTGAAGAAGACAGGTGCTGATCAACTCTGGCCTTGTCCAAGGTGTGTGCGCTTCCGGTGCAGCAACAAGGATGATCTCAAGGTGAGACAACGGCCCTTTCGGACGTGTATTTTTCTGATGCCTTGAACAGATACATGCAGCAAGTGGGGTGTGCTTACCGAGGTCTGCGAGGGTCGCCGCTCAGCAGTCTCGCGGTGTGGCAGACGTCGTTCCGTCCGCACAGAGACTGCAGCCCCAGCAGGACTCGCAACGACTCACCATCTTTGAAGAACGCGTCGTGGGGCAGACGCATTTCGCCACGCTTGTCCAGCGTTTCCAAGCGACTCAGACGCCCTCCTCTGCGGAAACTGCTGCCCCGAAACACGCTACGCAAAGGGCTGGAGGCGAGAACGGCAGCTCCGGCGCACCAACTTTCACGACAGCCAATAATTCCTCGAATTTGATCGTTCCCGACAGTGCATCTGCCAAAGAGGCTGGAAATGACGACGTACAGATGGCTGCTCAGGAGCCGGTGGAGGGCATGGACATCGACAGCGTCGTTCCGGCGGTGACCACTGCTGCTGAACCTGTTGCTCAACCGTTCCTTAGGGAGCGGAGAAGCGAGTTGACCAAAGGTCGGAGAAGTGGAGATTCATTCAGGTTTATATGCATCTAACTTTTATGATGTTGCCTCCAGTCCACGCTCAAGACAACACCACTCTTGGTACATCAGAAACTAAGTCTACTCTTGGTGCTTCCTCCATGCATTCTGCTGCACAAGGCACACAACTGGCACCAACCATTGTGGACGAGCCCTGCTCTGACCACGCACTAACGCGCGACTTCCGGAGCCTCAGCGTTGTCGCTGGAAGCCCGCCGCCAGCTCGACGACCTGGGCTCGCGGTTACCTTCCTTTCGAAGACATCCAGTCCGCACACACACACGCACGACACGATCCCGCATGCGACCAGGCGCTCGCGCACCGCGCCGTCCGTCCCTCCGCCCGAGTACCCGCTTACGCCTGCCTCGATGCGCGACGACACCCCAGACAACACTGCGGGGCCTGAGACGCAAGAGCCGCGCGCCCAGTCGCCTGTACGGATGACGGGCTATACTCGGCAGTCGCTGAGTTATTCGCCCCTACCTGCGCCGCCACCAACGGCACTGCCAAAGGCTCCTGCTGCGCCGGTTGTCGAACAGCCCGTGCCTGCGCCGCAGAGCGATGCGGCACACAACGCGCTACCACTCCCACCCGCGATACGAGCCTTTCTAGGCCTAGCAACGTTCCGGAACATCCCGGAGCTGCCCACCCTCGGTGCGTTCCTCGTGCGGCGTGGCGTATGCTGCGAAGACGGGCTCAACTGTCTGTGCACTATGCGGCCTGAAGCACTGGCAGAAGACCTCGGGGACCATGTCAGGAGCAAGTTCGACAACATAGTTTGGATGGCTCTGAGGAATGGGTTGGATATACGGGCAAAGAGGATGGAACTGCGATGATCAATGGAGCCAGGGCATTATGCTGATGAGTGCGGTCTGTTTGTGTATCAAGAACGTCATACTTTGCTTTGTGACTGTTATGCTTTGACTGATACTCTTCTTACTCTGTTAACATCGCGCTTTACTTCACTTTCATTCCATTCACTCATTTGTGGGAGTTGTACATAACTGAATAAATCACTAAAATTATGCAAAATCATTACAAGTCGTGACGCTCATAAGACATCTCCAAGCTCAGAGTAACGGTACAAGCCACTATATACCAGCGCGCTCAAGCAGAACCAGTCGGGTAGGAGGGCTCGCCACTCGCCGTCGAGGTCGCCGTGCCGTTCGCGGGGAAGGTCGCGTTGCCCGGGTAGGTATCATTTCCCTCGGCCGTTGCGGGGTTGAAGAGCGGCGGGGAGCTCATCGCCTCGGCGGGGGTGTTGGGCGGGTTCGGCGGGAGACCAGGCGAGAAGGGGCTCGGGGGCTGCGGGCCCGCGGGCGCGGAGGCATTGTTGTTCCCGATCGGGACGCCGTTGACCGGGGCTGCGGGCGCGCCAGGGAAGACCCCGCCTGGAAGCTTTGGGATAGGCGCGCCGCCGGGGACGACGTCCATCTGCATAGGGAACGTGAAGCCCTGGCTGCCTGTGTCGCCGCCACCGTTGCCGTTGCGACGGTCGTCCACCCAGGCGGGTGGCGGGGCGCGCGGCGCGTGGGTGGTCGTGGTAGTACCGTTATTGCCTCCATTGCCGGCATTGGTGCCGTTCGTGCTGTGGTTCGCGTTGCCGGGTGCTCCGCCTGACAAACCCGGAAGAGAGACTGGTACGCCCCCGGTGGCTTGCTGGACCATGCTCTGGATCTGGCTCAGTTGCTCCTGGGGGAGCACGGAGGCAGCGTCCACAGCGCCCTTAACCTGGAGACCGAGCGAGTGAAGGACAGCGGTGACGATGGGAGCGATGCTTTCGATGGTGTTTAAGAGGCCGGCAAGTTGGCGAGGCTCTATGTCAACCTCGCGACGACCTTGGAAGAGTTAGTGTCGAAGAAAAGAAAGGAAGAGATGAGAACACACCGAGACCGCCAAAAAGGGAGCCGAGACCACCTGCGTCCGTGCTGGGGGTGGCATCGCTGCCGGGGGCTTGCGCGACCGCGGCCGAGTCCTGGTTGTCTGTTGGGGCGGCGCTGACCAGAGCGCCAAGAGAGGCAGAGGAGGCGAGGGTAGCCAAGATGACCGAAGAACCAGTAGGCATGCGCATGGTGGTATATATAGCAGGGGTATATATGAAGTAGTAGTGGGTATAGGCTGTGGGGTATCGTCAAGAGATGGTGAGGGTATTGGGTCGAGAGGTGAGGAGCCAGAACCGGTGCGAGGCAGGACTTAAATACCTTCTGAGGCCAGCTTGAGGCTGACTGCGAGGAGGCCGCTTTGGAGTTCTCTCGGTCAGCCTCGCTGGCTGGCGATCAAACTCAGCTTCTAGCACGATCGTTGAGAAGCTTCGCTCGATAAATGCGCAAGAAACGCCCCCTGACGAGGCGAGCCTGACCATCTGCAAGAGCAGTATGTCTTGCGCGTTCATGGTAGTTCATGAGTTACCCGCCCGGCCGTGAGCCGCAAGTTGCCGTAAGTCAAGCGGTGTTTTACACCCGGCGCTTCGAGTAAACGGAAAGGCGCTTACGGCTGTCAGCCTAAGACCATCAAGCTTCAAGCACCGCGCGAACACTCCTGCATACATAACCCCTAAGCACGAATGGCGATAGCGATGCAGTACTCTGACAGCCTCCTGAGGTGACAAAAGGCAATGTATCGAGAGGCGGTCGGTAGCACCGTCGGCGCCCCTTTCCCAAGCGGCCCGCAAGCGAAGCGAGGGATGGCTTCACTTCGTTTCTGCAGCACACGCTCAAGGGGAGAGCGCCACCCCGTGACGCGTGAATAGCCAGCCAGACTTGCTAAAATGACAGGAAAGGGAATTAGGGTGTGCGAGACGCAGCATCATGTCGGGGTATCATATATCATGGCTTATATGCTACCTCTACACGTTTCCTTGCAGTCTCCCTGAGCTCGCGCGCGGACTCCGGTTTCTCCATCTTAATAAGGGCAACGGCATGGGATGGACAACACGCTAGTTTGAACTTTCAGGATGGGCCGAACGAACTGCTTCTTCTCCAACGCCTCTGCGCCCTGCGCGTCGAGGTCAAGCACATCCAAGTTTTCCCGCTGGGTTTGCTTACACCTAGCGAGCAAAGGCGGGTGTCTGCGCGCCTCATCGTCTTCTACCACTGTCCGCCGCCGTCAATAGGCCAGAAAGGTTCACGACGCAGTGGTGAGATGCAGCCCTTTCTCACCCCGTAAGCCTCTAGGCCTGCTCTGGGTTTGCGTGTACCCCGCCAGGAGTACACTAAATAGGGGTGTTCAAAGTTCGCTTTGAACGCGCTTTGGACTCGCTTTGATGGCGATTCAGAGGATGAAACGGAAACTCGAAGCGGCGCGGTTTCGGGGTCCTGAAGCGACGATTCGGGCTGAATCGTGCTGAATCGCGTCGAATCGAGGTCGTCCGTCGAAGCGGCTCCTGAGCCGCTTCGCACGCCGCTTTTCGCTCGATTCACGCTCGCTTTCCAGACCAACCCGCTTCGTCCCGTCCTTGATTCCCTCCTCCTCCCCCTCCTCCCGTGCTATTGCATCAATTTTGTAATAGCCTCATGCACATGGAGTAGTGACAGTGTAATCAATTTATATTAAATTTTTGCTACTTGTTTTCTGCATGTTATGATGAGAAGCGTGTCCCCATACAAGCATTTCTCGGCCGTCCCGTGGTGCATACCAACGGGTAATTTTTTGGAGGCATCTTTGCTCCCTGAGAGCATGCAGGAGCCCCACTACAGGTATAATAGAGTGTATATAGATCATTAGGAATGAAGCGGATGTGTCCCTCACGCCGCCAGCAACTCGATTTAACTCCCTCGTGGTCGGGGGTGTTCAAAGTCTACGCGCGCTTCAGTCGCGTTTCACTTCGTTCGAAACGACTCTCGAAGCGGCCGTGAATCGGTTTTGCGCGCGAACTTTGAACACCCCTAATATGCTGTTCGTGACTACAATTCCTCAGTGTCAGTTGAAACAAGCTAGCGCGAGCCAGGAATTTTTTCGCGCACATGTGCAGTATACCTGAAACGGGTAACCGGAAATCTCTCGTCGAGGCAGAATTATTCTTGTGGAGAATCATACGAGTGGAAGACAGCCCGCGACAGGCCCGTGAAGAGAACGCATGTCTCATGCTCTGTCGGTTCAGTTCGGCTGCCACTGCATTGAGATACTTGACTTGAACGACGATGAGCAGAGCGTCACTAACTGCTAAGACCTATTTAGAAGTGCGGAGTCGTATGATAATGTAGACGTCACGAGTGAGGTGATATGAACCTGATGCTCGACCTCTTCTCCGGGACAATGTGCGGTGTTGAGCGCACTATCAGTCCATCTGGCAAAACGTCGAGGCTCCCACGAGCTCAAGAATGCAGGCTCGGGATGTATACGTCTGCCGCTCGTCATGACTCCTCGAAGATGACGCTGTGGAGAGAAGGACATGCCGGAACATCATGACGCTGAGACTGATTTGCTTGGAGCCTCTTCATTAGCCCATATCTCTACTGAGACCATGGGCCCACGAAGCCGTCGTCTTCTCCAGCTCACGATCCAGATCCCTGAAGTGCGATGGCGCCCGAGCGAAGTCGCCCGCTATCCGTTCTGGGTTCCTGTGCTTGAGGGCATCTTTAGATGATCCGCTGGGAATTAATCGTCTACTGCATGGCGTTTTACAAGACAGAGGCTGCGACGTACAGAGAATAAGTTGCTGACGGTGTAACCTAGGCACAAGCTACAATTTTTGAACGTGACAAGCACTGACGGGCCATTTTTGAACTACACTGCTGAGTCGCGGCATTAGAATACGCCAGATAGAGGAGCACGCTATTTGCGATTGCCTGCCATCCATAATTCAACCCATTGAATGCAGAAGTAGCGGCAGACCATGAGGTGCACTCCCGAATGGCAGTGACGGGTACGCAGACCGTCAGGGATTGGAGAAGACCTGCGCTTGGACCCGCCTTCAATAGATCAGATATGAGCACGCGCTCACTGTGCATTCAGTCGCCTGGGAGGATAATGCGCAATGCAGCGCCATCTCCGAGGGCCTTGCGGTAAGATGAGCGAGGCCTGGGGCCATGGCCTGTCCACGTCGGACTGTGAATTTTACACTCGCTTTTGGCACTTATCATGAATATGTTGTATATATCTTATCGGATTCGCTGCTTATCTGCGTCTCAATTTGCGGGCGGAGAGAAGCGAGTCGACGGTGTTCTTCTCGACAACAGGCAGACTAGCTTACATCATTTAAACTTACGAGAGGCTGTTTCTTCACAAGAGCGTGGTAGGTTGCGCTTCCAGGCCGTAGAACACGCCACCGGTTATCAGATAAGATCAACTTCCCGACGCAATCTCCTTCCACCGCCTGCCTAATCGCTCTCAGGCACTTGTTCTTTCCTCGCCGTCAACCACGTCGGTCAACCCAGTGCTCACCGTCTCTCTGGCATGACCTAGGTTCTCACCTGCAACGCCATCCGTTATGAACGACACCGCATCAAGCCTCGCGCCTCTCTTCATCTTCCTCGCCATCCTCCTGTGAATACCCTGCCAAATCTCGCACAATGACCAAACACTGAGTGTTACGACTCTATAGCTTTGCAGCGCTGGCGTGGTGCATGGTCTCCTCATGCTTGGGACAATCACTAGGCGATTTCTGGAACGCCCTCGTCCTCAGCGCACAGACCAGTCGCAGCTCTCGGCCCTGGAGAAGCCGGACAGAGTGGATAGATGACGAGCTTGAGATGGAATACAGAGGCCGAAATCGCGCACTATAGCTCTATTGTGTCGACTTAGGGCTCCTGTTGTCTCTTAGGTGAGTGCCAGAATAGTGATATTTCTTCAACGTCCACAATCTTCTCTAGTATTAGGTCTTCATATTGCATACCTTGACACAGACGTCAAACGCGATTATGTCTGAGCCTACGTAGCTTCCAGCGCCTGTATCTGACTGGTACTGCTTGCTGAGTGCTCAGCCAACACAGCGGTGGCAGCACTGGGAGCGCGTATCGTCTTGCTTCAACCCCCGAATACGACCGAGTTCAGTTGCTTTTAGCGCCCCGTCCTCCAGCCCGTTCCCACCACGTCCACCCACGTAACACATCGTCGAGCCCGTATTGCAGCCGTTCCCCACATATTTTGCAAGTGAGCACGACAAAAGAGACGTTGTATAATGTTGTGTAACCGGGGATCCAACAGAGCGGAACCAGTTGCGACCCAGAACAAGGGAACAGGCCTCCTTACCGCTCCCTCGGATCCCGCCATTGAGCAGCGAGTAGACCGACGTCCGAGCCGTGAGTACACCCCACTCAATTCAAGAACCATGCATCTTCTCAGCGACTGACATTTGCACAGGACTTTTTAGCCAGACAACGGCGTCTTATGGTCGTTGTCGAAACTACCGAGGACCACGTCCTCTCGGCCCGCCCGATGGACCCCAAATCGCATGTGGTACGCATTCGACGTTTTCTGGCTCGTTCGACCCTAGCATAACCCTTCAACAGTACGCTGAGGACGGCACGGCCACTGACGTCGACTTGCGCGAGCTCGAACAGTCCCCAAAGATTGGAGGGATCAGAGATCCTTACGAGTTCCGCAACGGCATCACACCCGAGGTCGACCTTGCCAGCATGCGCAAGCGCAAACGTGGCAAGAGCATCGAGGGCTACCATCGCAAGCAGAATAACGTCGGTCCTCCGCAGCCATGCCTCCGCACCGCTACTGACCCCGTGTGCCAGCTAATCACCGATTTGCTCAAACCCATGGAGGAGCACACCGAGGACGCCAGAGTGGAAGAAGAGGCGTCCAAAGTCTCGGTAACTGAGGGTCTGCTGTGTGCATAAGCCCTTGCTGACGTGTACCGCCAGATCAAAATCGCTATATGGGCTAGTCTCATCGCCAACTTCAGCCTTTGCGTGCTGCAGCGTGCGCTCTTCTCCTCCTCTCTAGTTATTAATTACTCACATGGGACAATTGGCAGTCTATGCTGCCATATCATCGCTGTCGCTTTCATTGCTTGCTACTGGTATCGATTCCGTCTTCGATATTGGCAGCAATGTCTTGCTTCTGTGGCTGAACAGGAAAGCGAGGAAGCTAGATGCCAACAAATGGCCAGTGGGTGGCGCTCGCCTGGAAACTATCGGTAATATTGTCTATGGTACGTTTTGTCAACAAACAGTGACTATATGCTACGCCTTACAATATTTGTGAAGGTTTCCTGTGCGTGAAGTGGCGCATCATGTTGGCGTGCACTACTGACTCTGCCTTCCAGCATGGGATCAGTCAACTTGGTCGTAATCGTGGAGTCCATGCGCACCATCGTCACGCACAACAGCGATGACGATACGAATGCATTGCATATCCCCTCGCTTATTTCCGTCGGCGCTGCGCTTGGTACGTCTGTCATCATGCCCTTCTTATCTCTCATAGCGCTCAGTCCGCACCATCTTGTGCGCAGGCGTCAAATTTGCGCTCTTCCTCTACTGTTGGCCTCTCCGCAGGGCATCGAGCCAGGTCGAGGTCCTCTGGGAAGATCACCGGAATGACCTGTTCATCAATGGTTTTGGTATGTGCCTTCTACCGCTGGTCAATTGCCAAAATCTGACGACAGGCCCATAAGGTCTGCTCATGTCCGCAGGTGGAAGCAAGCTCAAGTGGTGTACGCACTCTTCTCTCGCCACTCTAATTCCCTGATTCCCATTAACCCACGTGCAGTCCTCGACCCGATGGGCGCCATCCTTGTATGTCCTGACCCCTCTCTGATTCTTCAGTAGGCTGAAAAAAAAATGCAGATTGGCGCGGGTGTTATTGTCGCGTGGGGCCGGACGGTTTACAAACAGTTCGAGCTGCTCGCAGGCAAGTCAGCACCACATGACTTCCTGCAGCTGCTCATCTACAAGACGACGACGTTCTCGGACGAGATCGAGCAGGTCGACACCGTCCGGGCATACCACGTGAGCCACGCCGCTCCTCCTTTCTCACCGCATCTTCTGACACGTTCCGTGTACAGAGCGGTCCAGTGAGTAATTCGACGTGCGTGGGACGGCTCACATGCTGACACAGGCGCAGGACTACTACGTCGAGATCGACGTCGTCATGGACGCAAACACGCCGCTCTGGAAGGCGCACGACATCAGTCAGCAGCTGCAGGACAAGATCGAGGTCCTGCCCAACGTCGGCCGTGCATTCGTCCACGTCGATCACGAGACCACGCACATGCCGGTGCGTCCTCCCCTCATACCTCCCTCTCCTGAACCCTCGAATACTGATGCAAGTGGCCAGGAACACCGCAAATACATATAAGCGGGACCCGCAAAGCGAGCCCGCAGAGTCACGAACCGGCGCACGCAATGACGATACCCTCATGTCCCATCCGAGTAGATTGTACGGTATACCTAATGGGAATACGCTGCCTGTACACGACCATAATGCTACGCGTCTTCTTTTCATTCTCGCATTGTGGTTGTAGCTAAACACTCCACGCCCTGACCTGCTGCGTCCCCTGCTCGAATACGGCAACGAGATTCAACACCCATGCGTGATTCTGACCCTCTCCGCCAGAAGCACCTTTTCAGGACCCCGAAACCGTCTCATTCCGCGGGTCGAAAACAGCCTTACAATCAGCCTGAAATCACGCCCAGAATTACGCTCTGAGCTCCCCTCTTATTTCACGTACAGAATTGGTTTCCTATCTGGAGAAAGTGTCTTTGCTGATGCAAACTTGAAGGAGTCACTGAACTCGCTGGTCTTCGCATCTTTCTGGTTGACGGGGATACTCTATCCTCATACTGAGAACATCTTTAGCATGGCAACCTCATAAATATCCGTTCTGCAGTATTTGGGTGAGTTTAGTATGTAAGTTATGAAGGTTGGGCATGGACAAAAATCAGCATGTCGTAAACTAGAAACATGCAAAAACTCGTTTTCATTTGAGAGGTGAGCGCCCACGCAACACATTGCCTGAGAGTGCCCAAAAATACACACAGATGCACAGACGTGAACGTACGTGCACGTACATGCACGCGCATGCACGAGCGCGAACTAAAGCGCAACGTCGCCAAACTGGAACTGGGCGGCGGCGTAAATCTCGAACCCGCATCAGCGCTACCGTACGGGCCGAAGTGCATGTAGGTGCACTTTCTTGCGCGTCGGTGTCCCAAAGGGTATCTAGCTGAGTACATATCATGCGGGTTAGCTGTGCGATTGTCAACATTTTGCACCAGCGTGCACAAAGGTGCACTTTGTAATAAGCTTGCGCACTGCCGTCATAGCCGCCCAACGAGTTTGACATGGGCGATAGCGAGTTTGATGGGGATGATAGCGAGTTTGACACGGTCGGTAGTGCACGTACGTGCACTTTTGTGCGCAGCTGTGCATCACCATGTACATTAGCACACCAAAATGTGCTAATGCGCACAGCTGTGAACGCAGTACTATAGTAAGTGAATGCACCCTCACTTGTTGTCAATCACGCGCGGCGAGAACCAGGTTTCCATTGCGAGTTTCGATTTTTGTCCATCAAAGACTGTGATAGTAAGTGGCGGCGGGTTTCCCAAAAGCGGAAGTGCGCCAGGGAAGACGTCGAAAGGAGTACAAGCGCCCACTAACCGCTGTTCTCGAGCACGAAGCACAAACCAAACCGTCTGTTTAGTGAACCTATGTTGAACAACCGCGTGAGCATCCGCAGTTTGTCGTGAGATGGTGCCCTCGACCTCGCCGGCCTTCCCGAGCAGCCAGAGCCCGGGTCTTCCTCTCTCAGACCTACCCAACTCATGATCCCGCCCAGGCGCAAAACCCTTCGCTGTTTGCAGCAGAAACAGATGCTGCTCGGAAGGCACTCATTGCACAGCTACGGCGCGTCCCAAAAGTCAGTGTGAACTCGTTCCTTAGTCACCTCATGTCCCCGCTCCCCGAGAGTTTTAAAACAGAGGCCGACATAGAGGGTATTATGAGCGAGCTTCAGAAGGAACCCAGAAACCGCCCAGCTCTTCAAGAAATAAATCCCGGCACGTACGTTTGGTCGTCTTTCCGCAAACAGCCGGCGAAAGACAGTCGCAAGGAGACTCCAGTATCTGCTCAACTAGAAGGCGTAATAAATGACATTATAGGGGCTGCTGCCCGCTGGCGCAGGACGAAGGGGGACCGTACGAGGCTATTTCAGCACTTCACCTACATGAACAATGGCAACAGGACTCTTACGTCACATCACCGTGACAATAAATCTCGCCCAGACGGATATTTCCTCGTGTCCAGTACCAAGAACATGAAGAAGCCCTGGTGGTGGGACATCGGCCTCGTTGGAGAGTTCAAGAAGCATAATACATGGAATGATACAGATAACGTGTGTAGTCAAATTATTCAGTTCAAGTCTCATCCTCTCATTTATGATACTGCTAGAATATCCACAAAGTCCTTTGGGCGTTAAACCACATCATACGAGAAGATCCCTTGCGTCGGGCAGCCTACGGGTTCACCATTGAAGACACATCCACTCGGCTGTGGTACTGCGATCGTTCGCAGGTTATTGCTAGCGCTTCCTTCGACTTCTTCAAGGTAAATCCCCATGCGTGGTTGTGTTGAGGCTAGATGATCCTGATAAGTTCTCCAGGACCCCAAGTCCATCATCAGATTCTTCCTGGCAGCATTGTATGCTGACAAGACAGCCTTGGGATGGGACCCTACTATTACCCGTGTCTCATGCAGTCGGAAGCAAGATGCAGACCTTGACTGTCAGTACGAAATTACTGTTCACAACGAGGGCCAGACCGCCCTAGTCTATTGTACTGTCAAGCTCCTTTCAGATCTTGCCGCGGACGGTATTATCGGACGTGGAACAAGAGTGTGGTCCGCTTATCTCAAGGGTGGGTCAAAGTCAAACCTCGTGGTCATCAAGGACTACTGGGTCGCTCCGGATCGGCAACGGGAGGCAGACATCGTTCGCGAAATACGCAAAGGGATTGCAAACAAGAGCAAACGAGAGCAAGAGGTATCACGGCACCTCCCCACCATCCACGCAGATGGAGACGTCCTAGTCTTTGGCGAGTCAGACGTCACGCTTTCTCTAGACGATATTCGTCTTGATGATGAAGACATCGAGGTCGATCTTGCAGCCACTCTCGGTCAATCTCGAGAGATAAGAGTTCTACTGCGTACTACAGCAAGGCATCCTCCGCTAATCGCTTCCCTCTGTCTCGGTCCCTCTGTCTCGGCCCCAAAGCCCATTATCGGGTCGTGTTCAACGAACTTGGTCATCCTTTGCACGACGAAAGTGTCTTTGCGACTGCATTTCAGGTGATATGTGATGTCATGGAGTGTAAGTATGACTACCTGTGTGACAATGTTGTTAATCTTAATGAATGTGCATATATAGGTTTGGTCGTCATGCATGACCTTGGTTGGGTTTACCGCGACATCAGCACTGGTAATATCCTGGTGCACGACGGACGCGGCTTGTTAACTGACCTGGAATATGCTCAACATTGGACAACAGCGCACAAGGCTCATACGACACGTACGGTACGTCGTGTCGGTAGATACAGCTATGGCTCGAATATTGATCATAACAACAGCCTGGTACCCGGTATTTTATGTCAGTTGAGGCCAATGCCCACGCATATCTGTTTCGACACAAGGCAGGCAGCGACCCTTCGACGGAGCCTGACGTTCCTGGAGTCCCGCTCTTGGTTGCTATAGGGGCTAAAGCAAGACCGAAGGGTTCATCTACGTCCACTCTTCCTCTTCCTTTTAGGTACCACCCGTTGAACGACTGGGAGTCACTCTTCTGGGTCTCCATGTACACAACGGTTAATAGGGTGGTCGAGCCGACAGAGAACCGACCCCGACAGCCGAGGGAGAAGCTCATGAAGCAGTGCGCGCTCGCTGCCAATCTTTTCGATAATCCTATCAAACGTCGCGAGATGTTCTGCGATGTGGCGACGGAAACGATTGATAAACTCAAAACAATGCTCCGGGACTGCCTTCACGAGGACCTTGTCCCTCTTGGGAATGCTCTAGCTGACATTAGGGTGGGATTGGTCGACACTTACGTGAAGGTGGAGGCGGATTTGAGCAAGCGTCCCGACGGTGGTGAGTCGCTCAGGATCATAGCGCACTCGAACTCCGCGCATTACTATAATATCCGCGATTACTTGGCTACCGAGGACAAACGTAAAATCAATATCGCACGCATCACGAAGGAGCCAGAGGTCAAGGACAAGGATTTAATGGATACTTCCGACTAGGTGGATTATGGACACGAGCAGAGAGCTTCACGTATACTATCTCGCCCTATCGCATTAATTGGAATATCGTTGTGAATAATGTGCAATTTACATCTTGACCTGTTGACGGGCATGTATATGCGAGCCACGTAGATGCATACAGTCGCCGTTGATGCAAGTCGCAGACGGGTTATGACCGGCGCGCCATTAAAAGTCTAGGATGCTCCGCGTCCTTGGTCTGTGACGCAACGGCTACCGACTCAACCGCATCTTCCCGTGCCAGCTTGACACGCTTCGAAAGCTCGTCTGGCCCCGGTGTCCGTTCAAAGGGTGCACGTTTACACCTACTGTACTCTCAGTAGGCGGTATATATATCATTGTTTGCTGGCTCTGCGTAACAACGCACAGCTGGGTACAGCAGTATAAGAGGAGCCTTAATCGAGCGTACCTGGGGCACACTGAGGCTCGAAACCTTCGGCGACGACGAACTCTGCCTTCTTGCTCTTCTCCGCCTACTCCGCAACCTTGGGCACCACTCGGAAAAATGGCTGTGCGACCCAATGTGGCATCGCCTTGAGCCCCGTCGTCTCATGCAAGATGATCAGCTCATCGACAGAGCGACCTTCTGCGGCCCTGGCATCCTGCTGCACAGTACGGGATTAAATTTGAGGCGCCACAGCGAGTTATCATGCAAGCGCACCTGCAGCTGCTCGTCAAACCCCTCGATGAGAGCCTCGTATTGGTCCCATGCTTCATTGTCCCCGAGGTGCTTGATCTGTATTCGTCCCAGAAAGTCGTACAATTCGATCTCACGACCAAGTGCGGGCCGAAGTAGCTTGAACAGATGCCTCTTGACCACGCTGCCCTTCGTCCGCGTCTTCTGTGATTTCACGGTAGCCAGGTACTCGAGCGCAGGCGCGTATGAGGAAGGTGCAGGCAGTCTGATGAGATGCGCGAGGTTGACGGGAGTACAGAGTCAGCGAGCGATGATGATGACGCAGGCGCAGACATGAAGATAGCAGGGTTGTAGAGGTTTCCCTCGACGGATATGACGGCATCAGCGCTTGTTGTGGCGAGACAGGCCTCGATGTCAGAGTGGAACAGGATGTTGCCGTTAGCAGTGACTGGGACAGAGACGGCCTCCTTGACTGCACGGATCTTGTGCAAGCCAGCAATACCCTGGGCCCGTATTAAATGCGGCAGTGGTCGGACTACAGAAGTGCTTACTGTATTGTGACCCCGTTGTTCGCGGGTGCGACCATGGCATGTCAGAATCCAGGCACTCGCGCTCTCGAGTATCTTCACGTGTTCGGCTGTCTTTTCAACAGTTGGGAACACACGGAACTTCGCGGTAACAGAGATTGAGAGATTCTTGTGCAGGTTGTTGACTAAATTGAAGCGTCAATTCACATGCGTTTTCCATGAACCGAGACATTTGTACCTACTCATCTTATGAATGAGATTCTGCAGGTACGAGCAGGTACGAGCCGTAGTGCCCACGCCTTGCAATATCCTGCAGATAGCCTAGGTAGATATTGACGACGTCGCAACGAGCCTCTACAACTTTGATTGCTCTTAAGAGTCAATCAGGATCGTTGGCGGCGAATCAGAAATTAGACAATTACAGGCCTATCTCCGTTCATCCTCTTCGCCGCTTCCGAGGTCGAACATTTCCTGCCTGTATGATGTCCGCTGGCCTTGGGCAAACATCTGAACCTCCTATGAGTACTTTCTTGGAGTTGGTGTGCTGGATACATACCCTTGCGTTCTTCATGAGAGTGCACACTGTATAATCTCTTGAGCTTGATGTAAGCTATGTCCCCTGCGCCGTCCGCAAGACTCAGCTCGCCAGTGCGCCATGTATTTCTCAGTAGTCTTCTCCATGCCTACCTATGTCAATTTAAGCTCTTGCCTCTCAAGCACATTTGGCAACTCACCAGCTCGCTTTGGTCCACCATCGGGCTACAACAAATTTTGGACTGTCTGCGTGAGCGGGTCGCTCGGATTCTGGCTGGTCTACATCGTCGAGAGTGATTGCGGCGCGGCATGGGAGGTCTGGCCTGGTGAGCGAGACAAGCCTTTGACTACGTGGATGATGTATGGCGACTGAATCTTGTAGACTAAAAACTGGTCTTCATATTGTATAACACCGGACATGAGGTCCACTCACAGCCGCATAGTATGCCAGGAGAGCGCCGTACCTTCAAGATACGTTCACGCGACGTAAGTGTATGGCGGAAGAGCGGTCAAGAAGGTGCATTATCTGGATGTACCTCTCCTCCTTGATATCAACACTGTCGGGATTCTCCCTGGCACGACGCGCTATCTCTTCAGTCGGAGCAGTAAACTGCGGAAGAAAGGCTTGCGCCCCGCGATAAGACTAACAGGACAAAAGATCAACCTTGGGTAGAGTGCGGGGAAGTGTACAGTCAAATGACTCAAATTCAGTAGGGGGCTCTACCATGAACGTTGAGCCGTTTGACTTCTCGGCCCTGGCTTGCCATCCAGCTCCATGAAGATGCCACCTGAACATTGGCGTTCAACGCACGCTTCCCTTCAGCATGCAGCGCGCAGCATGTAACACATACGCATCCTCTGCTCCTACTGAGCCTCATCCTCGACGCCCAGTGTCTCTACTGCACGGTCTTTACCTTTGGTTGTGTCATGATGGGTGTCGCTCATGCTTGCTCTCGCATACTTCAGAGAAGATGAGGTGTAACAACGAACGAAAGAGGACGCCTTCGTTTTGCCGCGGGCACGCCTCCTACAGTATACTCCGATGTCACGTGCTTCCGATCAGCAAATCAGGAGACCGCACCCACAAATTTGGCCTCACTTCTGGGCTTACCCGCGACTCTACGAGATTTTTGCTTTCTCCTCCATGACTTATGCGCCGCTTGTTTGCTGTTCGCAGGAATGATTGGGTCACGCCCTTGACCCCTCAGACAGAACTTGAAGGTCGTGATTTCTTCTGCAAAGCCCTCGCGAACGGCTATCGCGTATTCGGTCCCATGGCAAACTTCAACCCGTTCTCGCAGATGGACCTCAACACGAACGACCTCAACATGGTGCGTGTGTCGTGCCATTACCATTGTCGGACACTGCTCTCAATCAGGCAACACAGATGCAGGGAAGACGTCGATTTGCGCCATCTCGAACAGTCCCCAAAGATCAGAGATATCAAAGATCCCACGAGTTCCGCAACGGCATCACACGTGAGGCCGACCTTGCTATCATGCGCAAGCGCGTCGAGAGCTACCATCGCAAGCAGAAGAACGTCGGTCCTCGTCGCAGCCATGCGTCCACACCGCTACTGACCCCGTGTGCCAGCTAATCACCGATATGCTCAAGAGTACACCGAGAACGCTAAAGTGGATGAAGAGGCGTCCGAATACTGATGCAAGTGAGTAGATTGTACGGTATATCCAATGGGAATACGCTGCCTGTACATGACCATAATGCTACGCGTCTTCTTGTCATTCTTGCACCTGGTTGTAGCTAAACATTCCACGCCCTGACCCGCTGCATCCCTTGCTCGAATTCGGCAATAAGGTCCTTGCGTTGTGCCTTTCGAGCTGGAGCCGCGGGTGCAGCGCCCCACAGATCTTGCACAGCGTACGGTAGCTGCGAGGGCGTGCTGCTGTACCCGCGGATGCGGGGGTTGGATCCCGCCCAGTCTCTGATGCTGCTCGCACGCCAATGAGACTACATGGATAACGAAGAGGAGAGGGGACGCACCACTGGCGGATCTTTGCCTCACGCGTGATGAAGTGCGACGCGATGACATCCTACGGCACACCAAAGTAAGTGAAATCCCATTTCAAGCGGAAGGCGAGGACGTACGGCCCAAATGCTCTCTTTGTGCTCGTCGCGCAGCCAGTTGTTGATTGCCCACCGGAGCGTGTGCGTCTGGAGCTCTTTGTTGTGCTCGATGCTCGCGCGGTTCGTCAGAGATGCTTTGCCGCGTCCCGGTCTGGAAAGCGTGAGCGCTTGGAGAAAGAGATAATGAAGCAAGTGGCGGACTCGTTGAACCACGGCAGTTCGACCAAGATCATGCTCTGGATGGACACCAGTATTTGCAAGAGCGTTGACTTCGAGGACCACTGCTCCTCCGGACTACGTTTCATCAGCGCTATTACAGTGCTCGCCCAGATATGCTGATAAAGAAGTGACGCACCGACCAGGCCATGTCCCGAGCAGCGACAGACACACCTTGCCACAGTTGTAAAGATTGGGGTTGAAGCGCACCGAGCCGCCACCGGTCGTGCGGAGGTGCATCAGGGGCGGCTTGTGTGGATACTCGAGCGGGACGAAACAGTCGAACTCGAACAACCCGCCGGCGTAAGGCGTGCCTTCTGGGCCAGCAATCATGATCTTACTACGGGACTCTCAGCAACATCGGGAGCGACGAGCGGCGCGCAGACTCACATCGCGTCGTTCCGCACCTCGTCGACACGCACCCAGATGCCGGTGGGCAGGCTCGTTGCCGTGACCGCGAGCTCCTTGACGAGGTGAAGCCGGTCCTTCGGCGTCCGTGTCGCGTTTGCGGTGCGCTGGAGCTGGTTCGCGTAGTTAAATGTTGCATAGCACCCATCGGGCGCCTGCGGGAATGCGACGTGTGCGAAGGCGAGCCGTTCGCACTCCGCGGTGTATCTGCGCTCGAGCTCGAGTGCGGGGTCATGGCCCTTGCCCTTATTCTTGCCCTTGCTTTTTGTGCTGATAGGGGGGTGACGGCGAGGACTCATCGACGTTATTAGTCGGTGGGGACGGGCCGTTGTTGAGCACCCTCATTGCCCTCTCCAGGTCGTCCTTTGTCGCAATGAATTCACCACACAACGAGAGAGATTGTACAGCATTCTCAATCTCAGCGTCCTCGCCTCCCGATTCAAGAAGCGCAGACGCGCCCGCAAGGAACGCCTCACTTTGCTTCGTGAGCTTCTGGAAGTAGGTGTACAGCGGCTGCGCTTTGACTGATGCGCCATCAGAGGACTCTGCCCACTTGATTTCGCCGTCGCCCCACATCCACTCTTCGAGCCCTCCACTGCTGGCGAGCTCGTACCGTTCGCCGATCAAAACCTGCATGATACCCTTAACACCTGGTATGAAGAGCTGGCAAAGAAATCTTACCTCCAGCGTCAATTCGCAGTCCGCCATTCTGCGCAGCAGTAATAGCATGGCATTGTACAGGTCGCAGCGCGCCGTCCAGTCAGTTAGCGAATCGTTGCGCAGGAGGCCGGCCAGTAGTTCTGGTAGCTGAGAGATCTGCAGCAGCTGCGTAACAGATGGGTGAGGAAGCATGTCGTAAACCTGTGCATCGTCTGCGTAAGGAGCAGGGAGAAGTGAGATGATCGTCTTCAATGCGCGGACGAGGATCTCGTCCCAGTGCGATGCGAGAGCGGTCCGTGTTGAATGCTCTGTAACTGTGGGGGGCATACCTCGGCCACGGCGACCACGGCCTCGGGGGTTGAATAAGGCGTGGTCGTCGTTTTCAGCATAGCCGTACCCATGGTATTCGCCAGTTGAACCTGTAGCATATCCAGTCCCGCCAGGACCCACGGTGCTGACAGCAGATCTGCGACGCTTCGACGCAGCCACTTTCGCTCGGCTGTCTGACATGGCTCGTTCGCCAAGATATTGACGATCAAGGCCACCTAGGGCTTCGAAAAGAGCGACTGCACGTATCTCAGTGCAGCAGCTTATTACTTGACAGTTCTCGTCGCTCTTGCCTCTGCATCCTGGTCTGCAGTTCAGAATCTTGAAGCAGCCGCGGCAATGAACGCTTTGGCAGAATGGACAAGTTGCGTGGAGTAGATTCACAAGACTCATGGGAGGCAGCTGGGCTGAAGAGTAGACGACCTATGATGTTTGCTCGTATCATGACACAAATATATACAGAATGTAAAACTCGCACATATCCACGGGGAGAAGGGACATCTGCCTGGCATTGCGTGCATCTTCGCATACCGGTAAATACGTCCTTGTGTCCCACTAGTCTCTCATTTGGCAAGTTGTCGGAGACGCCGCTTCTGTTACGGCCAGACGAACCGGCACGACTTGCAGAGCCCAACAACTGTTGGCCCGCAGCGACGTCCTCTGCAGCCCATTCCTCTTGTAGCCTCCTTGCAAGTGCCTCGTCAGTCTCAGCAATAGGCACATCTGCAATAGGGACAGGCTCATCCAGCCTACTGGGGCCGGCCTGTGGCGCTTGGTTGTTACTTGCCCACTCCGTTTGTAGCCGCTTAGCTTGTGCCTCGCTTTCCTCTTGCTGCTTGATTTTAGCGAGAATAGCCTCTAGGTCATCGTCATCGCTGTCGACGATTATAACCTCTTCAGGCTGCGCTCGCCGTTTGGGAGACCTTCCATCGGATGCGATGACGGACCAGTGACGACGTTTCCGAGCCATTCTCGACGGTTTGAGTCGCCGTATGACGCGCAGTGGATAATAGCAGGCCAGCCAAGCAGGACAAGGAGGTCAAAAATGTATCGCTGTGGCGGCAAGAGGCAGCGGACGAAGAGGCATAGGCGCCTAGCGCCCCAGATCAGGCAGGCATGGGCGGCTGTCACATGGCCGGCAAAGCGGGGACTGATACTCACTGATGCTTAACCTGAACCTCTCCTCCACCTCTCTCTCTCTTTTTCTCACTCGTTTCACGACCGTCACGTCCTGTGCTCTCGCTGCTTGCCTACTCTGCTACTCGTTTAGGTCTTCGTCTGCATTTTATTTTCTTTCTTGAGCCCTCTACGCGGAGTTTCAGGTTGTTTCAGCGACTGCCAGGCTTATACCACCGCATCGCCAGTGAACCGATTACTGCGTCATCTCTCGCTTTGAATCCGCTCTCACGTCTTCTATACCAACATTTTCGCAATTTAATCTTGAAAAATGGTCCGTTTATCTCTGCTGCTCTGTGTGGCGATCGGCTCATGTGCTTGCATCTCATAGGACTCTCACAACGTAGACCCTGAGGAATTTTATGCGAAACAGGACAGGATAGGTGTGTACCGGTCTTCTCGATGAAGCTTTTCTCAGCGTTCACTATTATCGCCCATACATAGGAAAGGGATCTTTCGGAGAGGTCTACAAAGGGTACACTCTCCCTCATACTCACGGTCAGAACGGCTTACGGAGTATCTTTGCGCAGCTACGATAAACGCACCCAGAAGACGGTTGCCATTAAGATCATCGATCTTGAGAGTGCCGAAGACGAGATCGAGGATATTCAGCAAGAGATCCAAATCTTGTCGCAGCTCGACTCACCGTATGTCACTAAGTACCACGGATCCTACTTGAAGGGATCGCAGCTCTGGATCGTCATGGAGTGCGCGATATTTGCTTCCGTGTCCGATGTGCCCGGACTGACAGGATTTGTAGATATTGCTCTGGCGGGTCATGCTCGGATTTGGTGCGCGATTGCTTTCTTCTTTGAAATCGGGGCCAGTACTCATTTCGATCGGCCCCTTTAGATGAAGCCTGGAGTATTCCGCGAAGAGTACATCGCCATTATTGTGAGGGAGCTTCTCAAGGGTCTTGAATACTTGCACTCTGAGGGAAAGCTGCACCGAGACATCAAGGGTACGTTCACTGCCGTCACCTCGGCTCGTCTACTGATATGCGTACAGCCGCGAATATTCTGCTTTCTGCCAATGGCGACGTGAAGCTCGCCGACTTTGGTGTCTCCGGTCAGCTATCTGGTACTCTATCTGCAAAAAAGAACACATTCGTAGGAACGCCCTACTGGATGTCTCCGGAGGTTATCAAGCAAAGCGGATATGATCACAAAGCCGATATTTGGTCTTTGGGTATCACTGCTATTGAACTTGCCAGAGGCGAACCGCCATACGCGGAGTTGCATCCAATGAAGGTCCGTGATACCATTATGGAGAGTTTCAACTTCACTAAACTCTGCCGGCATACACGAACAGGTTCTCTTCCTGATACCCAAAAACCCACCTCCTACGTTAGAAGGGCCTTTCTCTAAGACTTTCCGAGACTTCGTTTCCTTCTGCTTGCAGCGCGACCCGAAGGATGTGAGTTTACTGCCAGCACAAGACTGACTACGGACTTAAATGTTCCTGTAGCGTCCTTCTGCAAGGGATCTACTCAAGCACAAGTTCGTGCGTATGGCTAAGAAGACAAACTACCTGACGGAGCTCATTGAGCGCCATGAACGCTGGCGAGCTGAAGGTGGTGACCGAATTGAAGAAGAAGACCGCCGGAATCCAATGGAGGAAACGTACGCACACACCCGCTTGATCCTTCATGTGCTATCCTATTCACATCTGTTCATCCAGCAACTCTGTTGATTCTGACGATCTCTGGGACTTCGGCACTGTCCGTCACTCCGCTACCGTCGGGCGCGCGAAGCCCAACCCAGTGCAAGTGTCAGGTCCACCTTTGACATGGGAGAATAACGGCTCGATGCGCTCAGACGGGTCCTCGAGCTCGGGCAGACATTCATTTGGGCATCGCGCTCGCCTGCAGACTCCTGGTAAGGGCGAGCTTCCGCCGATTCCGCCTCCGGCACCTTCTACGCCGAAGGCTAAGCATGGTCTCAACCAAGGTACCGTCCGCCAGATCGTGAATGGCCATGGTATCGCCAGGGAGCTATCGGACGAGTACGGCGAAGATTATGAAGACCAGGACGAACATGAGGGGCCGCCACCTTCTGATGACGACCTTCCCGATACCACCATGCTCGATTCTGTCGTTCTTCCCGCTATCGCATCAGTATGTTACCTTCCCTATCATGTTTTCTCCAATTGGCTTGCTGACGTGGCCGGCCCTTTCCCCCTTTCCATGCAGCTCTTCCCCCGCGTCTCTACACAGGAGGCCCGTGTCGCCCTCAGCGCCCTCCAGCGCGCCTTCACCGATGCCGAACGTATCATCCCCGGTGTGACCCTCGAGCTTGTGAACGAGATAGTTGACTCCGTTGAGCATGTCGACGAAGACCGCTAAAGCGACCCTCGACCAGCTAATGCTCGACGTGTATATCAGGCCCCTCCGCAGCGCTACATCCCTCTAGTATCTTTTTCTTGAGTATCTATTTTCCCATGCACACTCAGGCTCTGAACCGGACATACCACTCCAGCCGCTAATTCCCTCCGTTTACCCATCTGCCCAGTCATCCACATCTTTCCATTGCGACCCCTACTTATGTAGCATCGCACATCCAGATTCAGGCTTCGCATGTATCACTACTACACAGATGTATACCTCGCCCACTCGTGGTAGCCTACCTGCAACCCACTCATCAATGTGTCTGTCTGTCCTGTCTGTCCCGCCGCTGTTATTGTATACCTCCGCAGGCATATTATAGTACAGCTAATCCAAAGTTACACATATCGAGGTCCGAAAGCGTGCTATGAGTCCGCGGTGGCCGTCGTCTGTTTCTTTTTTGTGCCATCTCCTGTGCGTTTCTTCTTCTTGACCCTGGTGACTGTGATGGGGGCAGGCGCGGCTGCCTCTTCTGCTACCGCAGGCGTGGGTGCAGACTCCCATTCTGGCGCTCCTGCGGTAGTCCCGTGGCCGTTCGCAGGTGGCGTCTGCGACTTTCGTGCGAAATCTGGCATCTCGCCGACCTTGTCGACGACGAAGGTCTGCGGCGTAGTCGCCCGCGGCGTGCTCCGTAAGCTCGGTAGACGCGAATTTGCTTTGCGGACAAGAATGAGCCACATGTGTATCGGTTTGGGTCATGAGAGAAGGCTCACCTGACGACTGCGGCAGTGGCGGGAGGTCGTCGAGTCGCACGACAGGGATAGAGTCAACATCTTCCTCCTTTGGTCGCGATGGCCGGTCATCTGCAAGATAGAAAGGGTCGTCGCGGAGGCGTTCGAGTCTCTCGGCCTTGCGCTAGCATCCCTATCAGCACGCAATCGAAGAGAGAACAGCCCGAATGCACTCACTCGCTCTCGTTCAGCCTTCTCCTCTTCTGTCTCTTCCACATCAGGCGTCAAGACATCGCCCTGTATCTTCCCGTCTTCCTTTCTCTTCTTCTTCTTCGTCTTCGGCCCTGTCGTAGCCTCCTTGCCCTTGCCTTTCTTACTTTTCTTCACCTTCAGCACAGCCATGCTATCTTCCTCCTCTGCTTCAACCGCGCTCTCCTCCGCCGGCGGTGGCACGATCCAGGCGTTAAGGTCGAGGCCATCGGGTACCGAAACATGTTCTTGCGCACTCACAGCGACGGGGTTGAGCTCGTACGCGCTGAAGAGCGGGCGCGTCAGGTACAGGCTCTTCGGGAAGCGCGGGTCCACAGGCGTGTCTTCTATCCCGAACGTCGAGGATCCGGCCTCGCTGTAGCCAATGCCGTTAGTCTCAGGCTTAGGCTGAAACATCGAGATGTCTGCCCGGACGAAAATCAGCAGTTGCAAAAAGTTCGCAGCCTGGGTGATCCGATGCCGTGTTAGCCACAAACCGGGAGAGGCAAAACGTCACGCACTCGCTCTTGCACCTCAATGTCTGCATTGGCTGCAAACTCGGCGACGCGCTCGACCATCGTCTCTGCGACCCCTCTGACATTCGGCAATTCCTCGTCATTCCACTGCTCAGCCAAATCAGCGCACCACGCCCCAAAAACCTTAACTGCAGCCTGCAGGTATACCGCAATCGTCTCAGGAGCAAGCTTGTGGACTTCCGGCCGGAGCAGAGTGTCTAAGAGTTTCTGCGGTTCGGCCAGCTCGCTAAGCAACGGTTGAGTTTATACCTCAGAGTGGCAGCCTAGAAGGAGACACACCTGCAGTGTTCTCCGCAGATCCACGCCGCAGCCCAGAGCGCCTCAGCACAGCAGCCTTCTTCGTCGACATTTGCGAGGAAGGTCTCGTCGCGCAGTAGTTTGACCATCAATTGTACCGAGTATCCCCGAGCGGCACGTACGCGAGCTGTAACATCCATGAGCTTGTCACGAATTTGTGCGCCAACGTCAGCGTTTGCCACGTATGCGAGGTCGACGAGCACCGAGAGGTACCATTCGAAGTCGGCGATGTAGCCGTACGTGTCTTGTGAGCAAAGCGATAGTATACGCTGAGCAAGAATGAGCCTGTAGGCAGGGTTCTGCGAAGGAGAGCCGACACTGTTGACCGATGCAGGTGGTGCGGTATGCTGGACAAGTGATTGAGCAGCAGACGGAAGTGCATTGTCGGTGCGGACAAGATGTGATAGTAATTGCTGTACAATCGATTGCAGGTTGTCTCTGTTTGCCTAAAGAGGGATCAGTGACCAGTGGCAGACTATGAAGAAGCTAAATACCATAGCGGACACGAGATCGAGAGCTCGCATGCGGATACTTATGTCGGGGTCATTGACACTAGACATAATCATTCCTTGGTATTCGGCGACTAGATGTGGATGGGTTGGCACAATCTTCGTCATAGCCAACAGAGCGATGTACTTCACTGAAGCAAGGTGCACTCAGCATATTGCCACCGCTAAGATAGGAGGTGCTTACAATTCTGATCATCGTCCTGTAGGAAATTTGCAAGCTTCGTCACGCATGTTCTAGCAAGTGAATGCCCTGATAACCCCTGCAGCATACCACCTATTATACAAGTATGGACGCATTCATACAGTAACGAAATCGCAGGTGTCGTCGATATGAGTTCAGTAATTGGAGGTAGAAGCTTCTTGACGAGCCGTGGCTCGTGCGGAGTGAGCGTACCGAACTGAAGTATAATATCAATGCCGCGCTGTCTTAGCCCCAGAAAAATCACTTACGAGCTTAATGATTTTGATTAGCATCCAGTTATTTGATGACGTCGTTAGTAGATGGAATAGCTGGGGAGCTAGTGATAGGTAGTCTTTGGGGTTCCGACGCGCAAGCTCGCAGATAACATTCACAGCTGCAGAGACGACGGCTACATGGAGTGTTAGATAAGAAACCAGTAGGTAACGAAAGAGAAATATACCTGGGTCTGAATCGTCCAGGCGCTCCTTGAGGCGTGTCATGGCTTGCTGCGTCAGCTCAGGGTATTTGTCGAGTACTTTGAAAAGCCCAATCACGGCACGCTTGCGAATATGAGCCCTAGAGTGCGTCAGCATCTTGATGACATCCGGTCCCAAATCCCGAGCTAGGTCTGGTGTGACGATGTGCGAGAAGCCATTGAGAGTGACGGCAACGTCTTCGGGTTTTGAAGCAAAATCCTAGATGTCCCAATGAAGCGAGAGGAAGGGATCACATCCACAACGCGACGTACCTTCTTGAGTAGATTCGTCGTGAGCATTAGGACGTCCGTATCCTGACTGAAGGATTGTACCGCGGCTAGGTACCCAACTGTCTTGAGATGATTTTTGGAAGAAGACATGACTTCAACTACATGGAAGGAAGCCCAACTCATGTCGTAGCCAAGCATGTCTAGCTAACCCTGGCTTTAATTCGAGCGCAAAGCATAAAAGCGTCAATCTGCGTACGAACATATGTGAGTTTGAGGGCTGCTCCAGCCTTCAGCTCCATGTCCTTGCCCCTAATCTCCCGACGTATCTCCTCGACTGCCTGGGCAATGAACTTGGCTTCATCCTTCTTGTTTGCGCGTAAACCACGGATGAGGTCTTGGAGTGTCCGTTCCCACATATCTTCGCCCGACAGTGCAGCCTCCTGCACCTACCTCCAAAGACGAGGAGAGCTCTGTATTGTTGTCCACAAGCCGCAAGTCGCGTGCAGCGGCGTGCACGACGGGTGCAAGGTGTCAAGTGGGTGCAGGAATAAACTGCAGTCCCGGACGCTCCTGCGCCGCTTGCGCGAATAAGCGCGCGGCGTGCATCATTTCTGGCTACCGCCAGTCTTCGGTCCCTCATCCACTTTAGAATCGCCACGCCCTGGACGGTGGACCAAAACACTGATATTCGCATGTCGCGGAACACCGTCACCTCATCCTTCCGCTCGAGCCTCATAACGCTTGCGTCCCCTCCCTCACCACAGGCTCTGCATGCCAGCACTCGCGTACATCAAGTTTCGCGGCATCTGTCTGTTACAGGGACTCGATCCACAGGGTGGTAAGCATGGTTTTTTTCTTGAAGAAACCCAGTCAAAATTGGGAAAACAAGAACCAATTGTTCCCCGGTTGTACATTGGGGTAGATTGGTGCATAAATTGGTGCAAAACCGGCTGAAAGAGGCTGAAACGCAACAAAACTAGTGAAAAAGGAAGGTTTGTCTCCAAGTTTTCTCAAATGAAAACCGGTTAAACACAGGTTCTTGTTTGCCTAGCTTTTGGCTGGTTATGCAAGCAAAAAAACTGCACTTACCACCTAGTGCTCCCGGATCGCATCGGCCTGTACACGCGTTAGGTTTTAAACGCCCAGGACCCCAAAAGGAGGGTGCAGCGTCTCTCCTTGGCCCTCGAGATAAGTAGATCAGAAGATACAGTAAATACATGACTGTACTTCCGGATTTTTGCTGACTGAAAAGAGGGAGGTGTAGATAATAGGTCTAGACATTGATATTGCCATGTAGAAGTGTACTCATCTTCTGGTAATAGTAAGGATAATTTGAGGTGACATCATAGACTTGTCTGCAGCCTGCCTTTACTGAAGCCATGTGAAACAAGTCCTGCTATGTTCACAGGAGCTGCGCGGCTTGAGTCCATATACCTTAAGGCAAGCATGCAGTATATCAGATCAGGTGAGCAAATCTGTGAAAGATGCTCTATATTGATAGGGATGTCCTTTTCATGCATGTGAGAAGACCTCAGTAAACTAAGAGGAATCTGGAATCCACAGTATGTTCACCCATTTCTCCTCAGATGACAGTGCAAGCACTGGCTTCCTGGGCACTGCTTGCTGTATGTCTAGCAAGACGACGGCAACAGGAGCCTAATTTTTTTTTCTGCTTGTTTATAAAGGCCCGTAGAACTACTGCTACATGAGGGCCTGTACTATAGCCAAAACAGGGTCCGTGCTGGTTCACCTGGTCGACCTAATGTCTGGGGGCACAGAGGAATTCGCAGAACCGCGCCAGATGGCCCTGGCCTCGCATGAGCACCGAGCCAGTCGATAGACTCTACCACACCAAACGTTAAATCTACCTCTAATGGATCCCCTCACCCATGCCCTTACCTAACCAAAGCACAAAATTTATCATGGTGACCCCCGTTAAGTATGGTCACCAGTGGTCGGACAGTTATACCCCAGCCGTCCTATGACAATTTACACAGTTACCTGTGCTCCTTATCAACCTGATTGCCCCAGTCATCCTTGTCTGCAGGCGGATCTTCGGCGTCAGAAAACGCCTCGAAAGTTTGTCCTACAGGTTTGTATTTGCCCCTGTAGCCAAAATCTCGAGCTAGTGCCTCTTCCTCATCCACTGGGAGGCTTTCGTTGCAGTTGAAAATTATGCGGTATCGGGACACCACATACTTTGCATACCACTGATTGAATTTCCATTTGGCTTGGTCCGAGTTGAGATATGACTGTTGCCATTTCCCCGGATCCATTGGTATGTCCCCTGGTCTAAGGAGA